CCAGCTGGAATTGAACCGTTGACCTTGTCTGTGGAGGGAGGGGCGCCTAGACCACTAGGCTACGGGACCCCATCCCCTAGATAATAATGTTATCTGTATAAATTCATAAATTTATTAATTAGATTATTAGAAATTCTTTATTGTATTTTGTATAAATATTTGGAAATTACAAGCTATTTGTACTTTATTTTGGCAGTATGTCAACAAAAAAAATGGATAATGCTTTCTATAGCACAAAAACATGATATTTGCCAAGCAAAAGAAATAAATTTAAATATTAAAAATATAGATCTTGCAAATAAATATTTGGTTGGAAAGTTAACAATAACAGATATTCTAAATAAAAAAGAATGTTGGTTAGCTATCACTGAAGAAGAAGGTAAAGTAAAAAAATTTATAAGCCAAAGTGGCCAAAACTTGAAGAAGCTCTTGGTCTCTGGGTAGATAATGTGCTTAATAGTAATCAAGATATTGATGTTCATATTCTTAAGACAAAGGTTAAGTTTTTTGCAGATCATTTTCTTATTTATGATTTTTACCAATCTGATGGTTGGCTTTTTGGTTTCAAAAAACATTACAAGCTTCATTAGTTTAAAAAAGAAGATGAATTAGCAAGTGTACCTTCTATGAAGCAAATAGAAAATAACTAACTTGCCTTACAAGAATTACTTTAATTCTATAACCTTAAAGATATTTGAAATGCTGATGAAACTGAACTTTACTGAAAAATAAGATCTTCCTATAATTTGGCTCATTTAAGATTAGCAGGGCATAAAAAAGAAAAGTCATGTGTATCAATATTATGTGCTACAAATGCAAGTGGAACTGAAAAAATGAAACTTGCCTTTATTCATATTCATAAAACACTATGTCTCTTATGAAATCTTAACTATGCTAATTTTTTCATTTACTATTACTGGAACAAAAAGGCCTGAATAGAATTCTATATATTGTTAGACAAGCTTATAGATGTAATCTAAAGTATTTAGAAATCTTAAACAATATGGTAATTAGCAAAGCATTAGTATAGGCTAATTTATTCTTATTGTCAAAACTATATAATACTAATTAATATATGATTTGGGATGTTTCAAATAGTTTGGTTTTACTATTAGTAAATTACACTTATATTTATATAAAACAAAATATTAAAAAAGAAAAATAATATCAGAATCACTATTTGCAACAAGCAGCAATACTGAAAAAACTAATAGTGATATTAGCAGCATTGATTTAGATAGTAATACAAAATCATCTTTATATATAAGATTAAATTTAATATAAATATTAGTTAATTGATCAAAAACCAAAATTAATTAAACATAGCTTTGCTGTAACTTTTATGACAAAGATATGTTTAATTAATTTTAGTTATTAGTAAATTTTTATTTTTTTTATACAATATATTGATTTTTTATTGTAATAGACTAATGTATTATTTTCTTTTGACAATTTGGATTTCTAAGATCAATTAAATTCAGCCCAAAAATAAAAAAAAAATTAGAAATAAATTTCTTTCTGGTCCCTTTTGAATTGTAAAGTGTAATGTAGCAAAATATTATGCTGAAGATAGCCAAATAATTCAAATGATTTGAGAGCACTATTGGCACCAGCAAGAGAAGCACTTAGAAAGTCTGTTACCAGATAGTATGAATGTGTGAAAAAAAAATTAAAGTGCAACACATGTGCTTTTGTTGTATATTATTTTTTATTTTTATTACTTTTTTTTATTTATTTTATTTTATTTTATTGTCTTATTTAGATTATATTATTAGGAAAATTTTATATAAATATCAGCATTATTCATCTTATTTTTAATCTAGAAAATATAAAGGCAAAAGAGAGGCTTTTCCCATTTAAAAAAATTAAAGGTCAGGTTTTATACCAAAATTTGTCTAAAAACATGTTTAAAAATCAATTAATATCAGATCTTGAGTATGTTTTAACTATTAGAAGTTACCATAGTAGGAAATTTCTGAAATTGACAAAAAAAAGGCAGATAGAGAATGTAGAAATAGAATTTGCCAAGAAAATGACTATAATGATCAGGTTATCAAAATACTAGATAAAAATTGGCATTGCTCTGAGATATAATATAACTATTAGTATTAAACTTATCTATATTTAAGTTAGTAAAGTCAAAGAAAAATAAGGCTTTGGGCTTTCAATTTTGTTATTTGATATTATTAGATTCAACTTTGAAAACTAATAGTAATATTCATTAATTCTAGTTATAACAACTTTATTATAGAAAATACTTTGTTATAATAAAGCAATCTTTTAAATTATACTATATATATTTTATATAATGCTATAAAATATAGAATTTTTTCATCTAAATCACTTTACAATAAGAGCAGATTGCATTAATAAAAATTAAACAAATCATTATTAATTTTTTTAAAAAAATTTGCTTGATTTTTATTGATTTATTCCATATGTTAGCAATATTTAGATATTTTATATTGGTTAAATTTAAAAGCCACATCTTTTTTTTGACAGCACACTTTTTTTTCTTATTTTTTTTGTTTTTTTTTCTCTTTTTTTAATAATTTATGCAGATTGAAGATATTTTATTTATTTAATCCTCTTTAGTTTAAGAAAATTTCATGGTTAGCCAAAAGAGTAGTTGCTATAAAAAGTCAAAGAAAAACAAGCTGATATCATCAGATAAATGCATCTTATTTAGTTATTAAAAACTCTATACCACCACCCAACACACCAGACTGGCTAATTTCTGATTCATGGGTTGGCCCCAATACTAATAGTTCAACATCATCTGCTGATTCTAATAGTTTAATAAAATCAACTAATATTGCTAACATCTTAATAGAACAACATATTACTTATAGTAATTTGTGTTTTCTTCTGATAGTAACTATGAACCTGCAGCTGGTTTAAGCAACCCTCTGCCTAGAACCTACAGTACCTACAGTACTATCTAAAAAAAATTTTTTAAACCTTTATCTACAGATATAATCTATTTATTATTATTTAATAAATATTTTTTATTTATATACCACAAAGCTAAAATATGCAAATCTTATAAGATTTGTATATTTTAGTTTTGCAGTACTTATTTTTATAATCCAAAATAGTAGAAACTAATACTAATTCTAAATTTGACAAAAAGGATTGACCAACCAGTAGCATTTGAAGTAATTAGTAATAAAGGTAAAAAAACAGAAAAAGGTAAAAGTAAAGATAAGCAAATAGAAGTTTCTAAGAAGCCTGAGGTTTATGTGAAACCAGCCAATCCTTTAAATAAGCATTGGTTAACTTTTAAAAAATATATATTTTGTTATATAGAATGTCTTGCATATAAAC